AATCGTATAGATTATATAGAAGAGGCTTGGTTATTTTTGGTTTTGTTTTCCTTTGCTTACCAGTTTTTACAAAACTGAGGTAGTTCACCAGCTTCTCTCAGTGATGTCCAATTAAGGTTTTCTTGTTTTATTTTAAAAGTCATTGTGGGCTGGGCGCAGTGGCTCACACCTGTAATCCCAGCACTTTGGGAGGCCAAGGCAGATGGATCACAAGGTCAGGAGTTCAAGACTAGCCTGGCCAACATGGTGAAACCTCATCTCTACTAAAAATACAAAAATTAGCTGGGCATGGTGGCACTTGCCTGTAATTCCAGCTTCTCTGGAGGATGAGGCAGGAGAATTGCTTGAACTGGGACCTGGATGACGAAGGTTGCAGTGAGCCAAGATTGTGCCACTGCACTCCTGCCTGGGCTACAGAGCGAGACTCCATCTCAAAAAAAAAAAAAAGGCATTGTGAACTTACAGATTTAAACATATTTAATGAGACTCAGCTCATTGCAATAAAAATGTCTCATCATTGGCCGTTAGGAGCCTCTTTAGATTGACTCCTAAGTCATTTTGACACGACCCTAGTATTCTTTCTTGATTTCTGATTTGACAGAATGTTTATCCCATCGTGGACATTTCTTGTCCTAATGTAGAATCCTTAAGTTCTGGACCCTGGTTCTTTTTAATTTTTTTGAGACGGAATTTCGCTCTTGTTGCCCAGGCTGGAGTGCAATGGTATGATCTCTGTTCACCGAAACCTCCGCCTCCCGGATGTAAGCAAATCTTCTGCCTCAGCTTCCCAAGTAGCTGGGATTACAGGCATGCACTACTATGCCCAGCTAATTCTGTATTTTTAGTAGAGACCGGGATTCTCCATGTTGGTCAGGCTGGTCTCAAACTCCCGACCTCAGGTGATCCACCAACCTTGGCGTCCCAAAGTGCTGGGATTACAGGCATGAGCCACTGTGCCCAGCCCAAGCCTGGTTCATTTTATTGGGAAATGGTATTTCAGTACCTTACTCTGTATGCTAGGGGTGCTTATTATACCTACATTGGTCTTGGTTTCTAGCATCTTTTGTGGGCAGAACTAGAAATTGTTTTTAAATATAAAATATATCTTTTTGGTCCCTGTAGTTCCGATTTAGAACTATAAGGCTACTGCCTTAGAGTTTTTTTGTTTTTTTTTTTTGTTTTTTTCTGTAGCTCCTTACTCACATGCTAGGAACCCTGGCCCTCAGTCAATAGAGTTCATTTTATTTTATTTTTATTTATTTTTTAATTTTGATAACAGGGTTTTGCTCTGTTTCCCAGGCTGGAGTTCAGTGGCTTGATCTTGCCTCACTGCAATCTCTGTTTCCTGGGCTGAAGCAATCCTTCCACCTCTCAGCTTCCCAAGTAGCTCTGGGACTACAGGGGCATACCACCACACTTGACATTTTTTTTTTTTTTTTTTTTGTAGAAATGGGGTTTTGCTGCCGGGCATGGTGGCTCACGCCTGTAATCCCAGCACTTTGGGAGGCCGAGGCGGGTGGCCTCGATCACGAGGTCAAGAGATCAAGACCATCCTGGTCAACATGGTGAAACCCCGTCTCCACTAAAAATACAAAAAAAAAAAAAATTAGCTGGGCATGGTGGCGCGCGCCTGTAATCCCAGCTACTCAGGAGGCTGAGGCAGGAGAATTGCGTGAACCCAGGAGGCAGAGGTTGCGGTGAGCCAAGATTGCGACATTGCACTCCAGCCTGGGTAACAAGAGCGAAACTCTGTCTCAAAAGAAAAAAGAAATGGGGTTTTGCCCTGTTGCCCAGGCTGGTTTCAAACTCCTGGGTTCCAATGATCTACCTCCCTCGGCCTGTCAGGGTTACAGCCATGAGCCACCATGCTCAGGCTATTTTTCTTTTTCTTTTTTTTTCTTGAGATAGAGTCTTGCTCTGTCACCCAGGCTGGAGTGCGCAGTGGTATGATCTTGGCTCACTGCAACCTCTGCCTCCCGGTTCAAATGATTCTCCCGCCTCAGCCTCCCGAGTAGCTGGGACTACAGGCGTGTGCCACCACACCCAGTTAATTTTTGTATTTTTAGTAGAAGCAGGGTTTCACCATGTTGGTCAGGCTGAACTCCTGGCCTCGTGATCTGCCTGCCTCGGCCTCCCAAGTGCTGGGATTGTAGGCGTAAGTGCTTGACTTATTTTACTTTTTCTTACAGGGTTTTGCTTTGTCACCCAGGATGGAGTATAACAGTAGGATTATGGTTCATTGCTGCCTTGCCCTATTGGGCTTAGGCTGGGACTCAGGCACGAGCCCCCGCACTCCGCTCTTTTTTTTTTTTCACTTTTTTTGTTTTTTTTTTTTTTTTTTTTTTTTTTTTTAGTCAGGTCTTTCTATGTTGCCCAGGCTGGTCTTGAACTCCTGGGTTCAAGCAATCCTCCCTTGGCCTCCCGATGTGCTGAGATTATAGATGTGAGACCCCAACCCAGCCAAGTTGATTATAAATTGTAGAGAAGAGAATAAAATTAGGGAAGTGACCTCAGAGGGAATGGCAGAACGAACCCAGAGAAGTGGAACATACCAAAGTATGCCAATAAGTGTTCCTAGGAGAACAATTATTACGAAAAGGAAGCCCAGGCATGGTGGCTCACACCTGTAATCCCAAAACTTTGGGAGGCCAGGGTGGGAGAATTGCTTGAATCCAAGAGATGAAGACGAGCCTGGGCAACATAGTGAGACCTCATCTCCACTAAAAATAAAAAAAATTAGTTGAGTGTGGGGCCGGGTGCAGTGGCTCACGCCTGTAATCCCAGCACTTTGGGAGGCCGAAGCGGGAGGATCACGAGGTCAAGAGATCGAGACCATCCTACTCAACATGGTGAAACCCCGTCTCTACTAAAATGACAAAAAAAAAAAAATTAGTTGGGCATGGTGGCGCATGCCTGTAATCCCAGCTACTCGGGAGGCTGAGGCAGGAGAATTGCCTGAACCCAGGAGGCGGAGGTTGCGGTGAGCCGAGATCACGCCATTGCACTCCAACCTGGGTAACGAGAGCGAAACTCCGTCTCAAAAAAAAAATTAGTTGAGTGTAATGGCATATAGCTGTGATCCCAGTTACTAGGGAGGCTAAGGTGGGAGGATTCCTTGAGTCCTTCTTTCCAGAGGAGGGCTGTTTTCGGCTCATCCTGCATCTTGGGAGCTTCCAATAAGTCTTGAGCAGAAAAGCTTTTCTAATTACCGCTGGGTCACAAAATAGCCAAAAGGTAGACACAAATAGAGTCAGGACTGCCTTAAATAGATGGAAGTGCACTACAATAGAGAGCTAGCATTATTCTGGCAAGAGCAACACAGAAGAGGAGTGTATCGGGCAGAATGTTCCTTTTTCTGCTTCCGGGAAGTGTCACACACTTTGCTTGCTTGGAGAATCCTGAAACCCTGCTGCTATCTCATCATGCCCCCAGTGGCCAAGCACCTGCATATTGACTGACTTCAGCACATGAAGGGGCCTTAGTGGTTATGTCAAATGTCATCTTTCTTTGGTGCAGATGTCGCTGACCACGGTTCTTGTTTAAATTACTCACCTTTGCCCATGCCTAGCTCTGGGTTCACTTATGAACCAGGGTCTGACAGTAATACCAGCTTTGTGAGGGGAACTTGTAACAGTTCAAATATTGGCATATTTTCTAGGTGTGTTGGTTCACACCTGTATTATTAACTGCTCGGCAATCTGGCAGGAGGATTCTTTGAGCCCAAGAGCTCAAGGCTGCAGCTAGCCATGATTGTGTCACTGTACTCTAGCTTGGGCAACAGAATGAAACCCCATTCAAACCCCATCTCTTTTTCCTTTTTTTCTTTTTTTTTTTCTGAGACAGGATCTCACTCTGTCACCCAGGCTTAAGTACAGTGGTGTGGTCACAGCTCACTGTAGCCTTGACCTACCAGGCTCAAGGAATTCTCCCACCTCAGCCTCCCTAATAGCTGGGATCATAAGAGTGCACCATCACACTCAACTAGTTTTTTTTATTTTTAGTGGAGATGAGGTCTCACTATGTAGCCCAGTCTAGTGTTCAACTCTTGGGCTCCAGTAACTCTCCCACCTCAGCCTCCCAAAGTTCTGGGATTACAGGTGTGAGCCACCATGTCTAGCCTTCCTTTTTTTAAAAAAGATAAATATTATAGAAGAGAACCTGTATCTTAACAAAAAATGAAAAAAGCAAAACAATCCCCCAGAGTATCAGTTTTGTCTTTATCTAGAGAAGGAATGACAATGGCTTTGCTTTTTAGAGATGGTTGAAATGAGAGAAGACTTGGTGAGGGCAAACGGGCGTGCATACCAGTTCTTTGGGCCCTGTACCAACTTTGAAAATAAGCAAAACTCTGTATACTCTCAGAGAAGTATGCATATATGCAGAGTCTGGTTTATAGTTTTCGGTACTTCACTGTCCCTGAGGGCAGTCTTTTTGCCCCATGTTGGCCTTGGATTGGAGGGTAACAACAATCATGTAAGGCTGTGGTTCTCAAGTGTGGTATTAGAAATGCTCGAGGCCGGACAAGGTGGCTCAAGCCTGTAATCCCAGCACTTTGGGAGGCCGAGGCGGGTGGATCACGAGGTCAAGATATCGAGACCATCCTGGTCAACATGGTGAAACCCCATCTCTACTAAAGATGGAAAAAATTAGCTGGGCATGGTGGTACGTGCTTGTAATCCCAGCTACTCAGGAATTACAGGAGGCAGAGGTTGCAGTGAGCCGAGATCGCGCCATTGCACTCCAGCCTGGGTAACAAGAGCGAAACTCCGTCTCAAAAAAAAAAAGAAATGCTCGTTATCAGGTTCTACCTCAGAAAGAAGTTGAGACCCAGCTATCTGTTTTAACAAGTTTTCCAGATGGTATTTGCCATATTTTGGGAGACTCCCCTGATGAATGAAACTTACACTTTTGTATGGTCTTCATGTTTCACACCTTCCATATTGTGCCTTTGAGAGACTACCTGCCATCCTCTTGTTGTAGCAGTACTCTATTCCTCCTAGGCTATGTCCTGCCCAGCCACGTGACTGAGGAGATGCTGTGGGAGTGCAAGCAGCTTGGGGCTCACTCCCCCTCTACCTTGCTGACCACCCTCATGTTCTTTAATACCAAGTAAGTGTTCTAGAGGCTCCACTGCTGACATCTGTTCAGTGAAGAGTGTGGAAACTATCCAAGAGGACTTCTGAATTCCTCTGACATATACTTGAGAAACTTTGAGCTACTGAAAGCCCTAGCCACACTTGGCTGCATTTTGTTTGGTAACCAGTGAGGCAGACAGCCTTGCCAGACCCCTACCACCCATCTTGATGTGGCTCCTGCACTGGACACTGTGCTTGGGTATGGACCTGCCCAGATCCTGGGAGTGTGGGCAGTGGCTGCTCTGAGGCACCAGTGGGCAGAGGGTAAGTCATGGTATCCTCCCGGCACCCCCTCCCTCTGCCTTGCTTTTACTTGTGATCCAGGTATTTCCTGTTGAAGACAGTGGACCAGCACATGAAGCTGGCCTTCTCTAAGGTTTTGCGACAGACAAAGAAGAACCCCTCTAATCCCAAGGATAAAAGCACGAGTATCCGGTACTTGAAGGCCCTTGGAATACACCAGACCGGCCAGAAAGGTAGGGAAAGGAGGCAGGGATGGCAAAAACAGGTGCTACTTGACATTCTCTGTCCTGCCTTTGTAGCTGTGGGGCAAGTGATAAGTGGGAAGGCTGGGATTTGCTGGATAAAATTCTCCATTCCCTTATCCCCAGCCAAAAACTCCAAACTTTCCTCCTAGAAGTAGAGAAAGCCCCAGAGAATAGCTGCCTTTTCCCTTAGTAGTCACTGCCTATGCCTCATACCTTCCTCCCTGCACCCTGTATTTCCTAGTTGGACTGGCTGAAAGCCTAAGGTTCCTGATCTGGGCCTGAGGTAAGGCAGTCTAATGCCAGGTCTATGGTGGTGGGGATGTGTGTTTTATAGTTACAGATGACATGTATGCAGAACAGACAGAAAATCCAGAGAATCCATTGAGATGTCCCATCAAGCTCTACGATTTCTACCTCTTCAAATGGTGAGGAGACTTTGGCTATCCATATGCACGTGTGTGTGTGTATGTGTGTATGCTCACTTGTGTGATATCACAAGGGAAAGGCATTCTCTAGTCCCTAACCAAGTAAGGGACTTGGTTCCAAAAAGCTAAATTTACAGGCAGCCTTGCTCTGGCTTTCCAAAGGTGTGTGATTTGCTTAGCACTGATAGAAAAAGGGGTCCTGGGTCCCTTCAGTCACCTTTCATGAAAAGGGTGTGGAGGTACAGAGAATCTACTTTCATCACACATTGAGCATGGCCCTGCTTCCTGACCTTAACTTTTTGTCACAGCCACCATTAATCTAGGTGGGACTCCTCTCAGCCTTTTTTTCCTTTTGCCCATTCAGTAGTTTCTCATTACTCTACATAGTAATCCTTTTATGGCAGTCAAGGCTTTTCACGCACTTCCCCTTGCTAACCTCATGTCTGTGGAGCTCTTTAGTTCCCTAGCCACACTAGCTCCTCTCCGCTCAAGGGCATTATATTATTCCTCTTCTCAACTTAAACACAGCTTATCAGAGAATTTTTCCAGATTTTCCACCTCTTCTGTGGCTATTTCCTGTTTATTATTTTGTATTTGTGTAATTTTGCTACCTGTGTCCCCTCCTATCTGTAAGCTCCATGAGGTAGGAAATACTGTTCCTGCTCTTCTTTTTTTTTTTTTTTTTTTTGAGAGGTAGTCTCGCTCAGTCACTAGGTTTGGAGCACAGTGGCACAATCCCAGCCTCACTGCAAGTTCCACCTCCCGGATTCAAGCAATTCTTCCGCCTCAGCCTCCTAAGTAGCTGGGACTACAGGCATACGCCACCACACCCAGCTAATTTTTGTATTTTTAGTAGAGATGGGGTTTCACCATGTTGGCCAGGATGGTCTCGATCTTTTGACCTTGTGATCCGCCTGCCTCAGCCTCCCAAAGTGCTGGGATTACAGGTGTGAGCCACCGTGCTCAGCCTCTTTTTCTGTTTTTTTGTTGTTGTTTTTTTTTTTTACTATCAGCACCTGGTGCTGACCTGGCACCAGTAACCTTTAAACAAATCTTGAATGGATGGATGAATAACTACTGTTAGAGGATACAGGGTGCCAAGTACTTTTTTTTGTTTTTTTTTTTTTTTTGAGATGGAGTTTCAATCTTATTACCTGGGGTGGAATGCAATGGCATGATCTTGGCTCACCAGAACCTCTGCCTCCTGGGTTCAAGTGATTCTCCCACCTCAGCCTCCTGAGTAGCTGGGATTACAGTCATGCACCACCACACCTGGCTAATTTGTGTTTTTAGTAGAGACAGGGTTTCTCCATATTGGTCAGGCTGGTCTCAAACTCCTGACCTCAGGTGATCTGTCCACTTCGGCCTCCCAAAGTGCTGGGATTATAGGTATGAGCCACTGTACCCGGCCCAGGGTGCCAAGTACTTTAGAGGTACAGCACAGTTGGGGAAAGGGAAGTGAACCCAAGTCAAGGGCCCCAGTGTCATGGCCATTGGGTAGAAAACACAACATGGGGCTGGGTGCAGTGGCTTATGCCACCTGGGAGGCAGAAGTTGTGGGTGAGCCGAGATTGTGCCACTGCACTTCAGCCTGGGTGCAGTGAGCTTAGATCATGCCACTGTACTCCAGCCTGGGTGACAGAGCAAGATTCTGTCTCAAAAAAAATAAACACGATATGTGCAAAGACTTGGAGATAGACCTTCTGGGCAGTGAAGTTGACTTCAAGTAGGATAAAGATACCTATGAGTCCATGGGAGCCCTAGGCTGGTGCAATCGGTGATGGATCATAGCTGGCATGTGGGAAGGAGGGGCAGAGGGGAAGCAACCCAGCATTTTGGGTATTTACAGTAGTCCCACAGTAGGAGCAGGATGTAGTGTGTGGTGGCTGCATGCAATTAAGTAGCTGTGCCACAATACCTTGGGGCCTTACTGTTGGCAGACAGCATCTCTCTGGGAGGTTCAAGGTGGGAGGGTTGAAGCTGTATTGATGATACCCAACTTTTATCCACATATCTTCAGCCCTCAGAGTGTGAAAGGCCGGAATGACACCTTTTACCTGACACCTGAGCCAGTGGTGGCCCCCAACAGCCCAATCTGGTACTCAGTCCAGCCTATCAGCAGAGAGCAGATGGGACAAATGCTGACCCGGATCCTGGTGATAAGAGAAATTCAGGAGGCCATCGCAGTGGCCAATGCAAGCACTATGCACTGAGATGCCTTGGCCATGGCAGAAGAGAAACCAGCCAGGAAAAACCAGACTTTTACACTAAAGAAGAGGCCTCCGTTTTTTCTTTTTTCTTTTTTTATTGGTGTAGTTATGAAGCCTTTCAGGCTGCTTCTGTTTAAAATGTAAAAGAAAACTTTGCCCCCTTTGCATCTTCATAAATCTGCTACGGCAGACTCCTCAGCCAATGGGGGCTTTGGGTTTCCTTGAGAGTCATATGTCCTAGAAAGTTGCTGGCTGACTCTTTTTTGGCCTGGGGCCTGGTTAAAGAAATGTGGCCCCTTTCCATCTTCAAGAGAGATGGAATTAATGATGGATGGACCCTTCAAGAAATCTCCCAGCCTGCTTCCACTGGCCTGACAGACTTCGCTGACCACAGGGAAACGATCTTTTCTTTCTTCATGCTCAGACATAAACTTAGCATCTTAATGGAAGAAAAATGAGGGGAACTTCAATTATGATTTATTAAAGACAATTTCTATTACACCCTCCTTTATGACAAGTGACATTTTAGATGTTAAAGTAAAAACTTTACCATGCCTTTTTTTTTTTTTTTTTTTTTGGCCTGTCATTGAGGCCTTAAAACCTGAGGCTCCTGTGCCTGATGGAATTCTTGTAACATACACTTGTGTATCATATAAAGATACCACTCTGTTTCTCTTATGTATTCTTACTCTAGTTGTTTATTAAGAATGACAAGCACGTCTTTTCAACATGCTAGTGAACAACGCCTCTTTATTTTGGGGAGGAGCCCGGCGGGATAGTGGAAGAGAAGGTTTGCCTGTTAGTTGAACTGGCCCGGGTCCTGCGGGGAGTGGGATGGGATGTGAAACCGCATCTCAGTTACTAGGCCATTTCGTGTTGTACGCATGCGCCGTTTCTACAGCACCAGCCTCGTCCCAGCCGCAGCGAAGCGAGTCGGCTCCGCCCGCGCGCACTACGCCCTGACGTCAGCGTCGCGCGCAGCGCAGTGACGAAATCAGCTGGTTTATATTGGCGCGGCCCAGACCGCAGAGGTCTCTGCGGCGCGGTCCTCGGAGACACGCGGCAGTGTCCAGTTTTGGCCATGGCCGACTACCTGATTAGCGGGGGCACGTCCTACGTGCCAGACGACGGACTCACAGCACAGCAGCTCTTCAACTGCGGAGACGGCCTCACTTACAAGTGCGGGCCTTATGGGGCCCAGCTGGGCGAGGAGAGGGGCGGCATGCTGGGCGAAAAGGCCAGATGGGGGCTTCCGTGAAGCCTTCTTGGGCGCGGGCGTGGGGGGATAGGTTCCGGAAATTGGCCACCCACCTTCAGGTCTCACTTTGAGACATCTGGAGCGGGACTTTGGGTACAGAGAAGCATCTCAATAGTGCTTGGAATTTCAGGCTGGAGACTCCATGCTCCAGAAACATAATTGTCAGGGTGCCAGGAGCACTGACAGCTCGGTGGCAGAAAAGGTCCCCTGTCCCCATCTCCACCTTGTGCTGCGCCGTGCCTGTGGCACACAGGCTCTGTCAATGCCACATTGCTCACATGCCTTACGGGTTGATCTATGGGGATTGAGTATTGAGAGTCGATTCATCCAGTCATAAGCCTGAGAGCTTTACTCCCAATTCACTCCCTTCCCTCGCAGTGACTTTCTCATTCTCCCTGGGTACATCGACTTCACTGCAGACCAGGTGGTGAGTATGATCAGGAATTGGGTTCTGAACATCAAGGTGAGGTAAGGTGCTACTGTCACCTGGTCTTGGCTACCTCACCAGATTGGGTTTGGGGGTGAATTTTATGGGATCATGTTACTGGTTAGCATGTAGGTCATAGAAGTACCTGTTTGTGGGGGACCCAGTAACACCTTGAGGTGTAAGCAATGCTTTCCCACACTGGTTGACCTTTATCTCCTCAGGACCTGACTTCTGCTTTGACCAAGAAAATCACTCTTAAGACCCCACTGGTTTCCTCTCCCATGGACACAGTCACAGAGGCTGGGATGGCCATAGCAATGGCGGTGAGCCCCATGGGGTGTGGGGGTAGGAGAAAGGACACCATCACCTTTCCTCAAAGGCATTCAGTCCTGCCTCTGGTCACTTAGTAGTCCCTTTTTATCCTGTAGCTTACAGGCGGTATTGGCTTCATCCACCACAACTGTACACCTGAATTCCAAGCCAATGAAGTTCGAAAAGTGAAGGTCAGAAGGGCAAGGATCGTTAGCAAGCACTCCTGGGAATTGCACTGAGGTGGGGTGGGAGTAGGGGTTTGTTCTATTAATTTGGTATCCTTTCTTCCCACCATGGGATTCAATTACTGAGAAGAGCCTGAGATTGTTTCTTAAAGCAGCAGCAATAGACCAGGTAGACAGTGCCTCTAGCCCACCCATGTCTCCTCATAGATGTGTTGGTGTGATTTGGTCCTGTGGCACTGCCACAGGGATCATTAAGCAGAGACCCCATGCTTTCAGATCAGCAGCCTGATGAAAGTAGTTCAAAGATGCAATGCCCTTTCTCATCATCCCCTTCCAGAAATACGAGCAGGGATTCATCACAGACCCTGTAGTGCTCAGCCCCAAGGATCGCGTGCGGGATGTTTTTGAGGCCAAGGCTCGGCATGGTTTCTGCGGTATCCCAATCACAGACACAGGCCGGATGGGGAGCCGCTTGGTGGGCATCATCTCCTCCAGAGACATTGATTTTCTCAAAGAGGAGGAACACGACTGTTTCTTGGAAGAGGTGGGTGCCACTGGCAGAGTACAACCAAGTTCTGGAAGCCCAGGATGAAGACAAGAGGCTTCTGTTGCCTGTATGACATCTCTGATAGCCTTTCCTCTCTGGGAAAGATGAGTGTCAAGCCATGTTTCTGACTCCTTCATTGGGAAAGCTTTCAAACTGCCCAAATGCTTGCTAGTATTCTTGCTGTGTTCTTTGAAACCCCTAAGGCAGGGCTTGAGGTCAGCCCTCATTTTCTTGCCATTGTTCCTGTGTGGTCCTTCTTATTCCATAATGTAAGGGGCTGCTCCCTGTGCTGTGTTGTCCTTTCTATTCACCCCTCACTCAATACTATACTGCTTAGGAACTATTGGGATCCCTTTAGAAAGGGTGGTTTGGGTGTGGGTGAATGAAGGTGGTGGTCTGTAGAACTTTGGGAGGCTGAGGTGAACGAATCTCTAGGTTAGGAGTTTGAGACCAGTCTGGCCAACATAGTGAAACCCAGTCTCTACTAAAAATACAAAAAATTAGTTGGGCATGGTGGCAGGCCCCTGTAATCCCAGCTACTCAGGAAACCAAAAAAAAAAAAAACAGGTGACTGCCTATAGTCTGACCGGCCCTTCCTCACATCTCACCTTCCCCGTAGATCATGACAAAGAGGGAAGACTTGGTGGTAGCCCCTGCAGGTATCACACTGAAGGAGGCAAACGAAATTCTGCAGCGCAGCAAGAAAGGTAAGTCCTAAAGCTGGGAAGGGGCCTGAAACTAATACTCAGTGTCCTGATTCATGTCCTATCGTGACCACAGGCAAGCTGCCCATTGTAAATGAAGATGATGAGCTTGTGGCCATCATTGCCCGGACAGACCTGAAGAAGAATCGGGACTACCCACTGGCCTCCAAAGATGCCAAGAAACAGCTGCTGTGTGGAGCAGCCATTGGCACTCATGAAGATGACAAGTATAGGCTGGACTTGCTTGCCCAGGCTGGTGTGGATGTAGTGGTTTTGGTGAGCTGCTACACAGGTGGGTTGGGGCAGTAGGGGGAGCTGTCACATCACAGTCTGAGACTTACTTCCTGTCTCAGGACTCTTCCCAGGGAAATTCCATCTTCCAGATCAATATGATCAAGTACATCAAAGAGAAATACCCCAATCTCCAGGTCATTGGAGGCAATGGTAAGGCAAGATTGTGCCCTGAAGGATGTGTGGTGGGAGTGGGTAAGCTGGGGTCCTACTGTAACCTTCATGTGAGCATTTCCTTCACCTTAGTGGTCACTGCTGCTCAGGCCAAGAACCTCATTGATGCAGGTGTGGATGCCCTGCGGGTGGGCATGGGAAGTGGCTCCATCTGCATTACCCAGGAAGGTAAGAATATGCTTTGACAGGGCCCACATAAGTCCCAGTTTCAGGCCCCACGTACCTTGGAGCCAAGCACTCTCAGGGGAACAATAGAGTCCTTCAGTAGGGGCAACCCTGGGGCCAAATTGGCCTCTTGGATGGGTGACATGGCTGGAAGCAAGACAAGGTCTTGTCATCCCTCACCTGCCACTCCCCTGCCTAGCCTGGCCTTGCTCCTGCTCTGTGCCTTCTCTAAACTCTGGTCTGTTTGTTTTATTTAGTGGCTCCCAAGATCCCTCCAGACATAAAGTCCCACAGCCCCAAATGCCCTTCTACTGTCACGGGTTGCTATAGTAAGTCTAGCCCGGCCCATTGGCCCGGCCCAGCTGCCCACTGCCCGGCTGCTTGGTTGACTGTAGCTGTAGCTCCCGGGGTTTGTGGTGCTGATGGGTGGGCAGGGCCAACTGACATACAGACCATGGTTTGGGGGTTGCTCATGAACATAGCCCCCTTTTCCTCCTGGGGTGCTGATAGGGCAGGACCTCCTTCCCTAGGTAGGTCCTTTCCTGCCCACATCTTCTGCAGTAGGCATGGCTCAAGGGTCAACTCTGGAGCCTGCTGTCCCACACAACCACTGCCCTTATCTTGCCTGAACTGCCCACCATTCAGGGATGAAGGGCTGGGCCTGACTTTAGTGCCTCTGGGGACTAACTGCACGGTGACTCCTGCCCCATCTGATACCAGCTGGACAGGGGCTTTCCCGGCTGCCAAGACTGCATGTGCCTGAGGCTGCCCTGGGCACTGCACACATGCACGTGCACATGTGGGGATGAGTGGAGGTCAGCACAGCTGTTTGTATGATTTAAGGCAGATGGGGCAGCAGCCAATTCCAGACACATCTCTTCCTCAGCCAAGCTGCAGTCCTGATGCAGATGTAGCCAAGAGCTCCTGGGTCCTAAATGTAGCCAGAGTCCACTGCCTGTCCCGTTAACCCTATCCACCTATGTGTTCCTCCATCTCAACAGTGCTGGCCTGTGGGCGGCCCCAAGCAACAGCAGTGTACAAGGTGTCAGAATACGCACGGCGCTTTGGCGTTCCTGTCATTGCTGATGGAGGAATCCAAAATGTGGGCCATATTGCCAAAGCCTTGGCCCTTGGGGCCTCCACAGGTGAGGCCCAGTGGGACTCCCCCTGACCCCATGCTGCTTAAGCTCTGCCCCAAGAACTCCCCCATCTGTCCACAGTCATGATGGGCTCTCTCCTGGCTGCCACCACTGAGGCCCCTGGTGAGTACTTCTTCTCCGATGGGATCCGGCTAAAGAAATATCGTGGTATGGGTTCTCTCGATGCCATGGACAAGCACCTCAGCAGCCAGAACAGATATTTCAGGTGGGACAAGCAGGCCAATTACCCCACCTAATCCTGCACTGTCTTATCTCTGCTATGACCTTGCCTGTGTCTCTGCCTCTCCCTGCAGTGAAGCTGACAAAATCAAAGTGGCCCAGGGGGTGTCTGGTGCTGTGCAGGACAAAGGGTCCATCCACAAATTCGTCCCTTACCTGATTGCTGGCATCCAACACTCATGCCAGGACATTGGTGCCAAGAGCTTGACCCAAGTCCGGTGAGCTTGGGAAGCTGGGACATGGGTAGAGAGGCTGGTTCAGGGCCAGCTACCCACATTTGACTTCTGCCCCTCTTCAGAGCCATGATGTACTCTGGAGAGCTTAAGTTTGAGAAGAGAACGTCCTCAGCCCAGGTGGAGGGTGGTGTCCATAGCCTCCATTCGTAAGTCACCCTGTCCCTGGTGGGGCCTCTGCCACGCCTCATGCCTCCTTCCTCCTGCCTTCACCTCACAGGTGGTCCTTCTGTCTGCAGGTATGAGAAGCGCCTTTTCTGAAAAGGGATCCAGCACATTGCCTCAGTTTTTTCAATAAAAGTTTAGAAAATAAAAGTAATGCCTGATCTTTGAGGTCAACAGACAGGTGGGGCTCTGTAGCTGTCACTACCGCAGATGTACACAAACACAGCACTCTTGATTTTCAGAGGGAACCTCAGGCCCTGAGATAAATGTGCTCCGTGGACCTTGAAAAGGGGGTAGTTCCAGGTTCACAAAGTTCCTCCTAAGGCTGCTCACAAAACAGCTTTGACCAGCTGTGGCTCCTGGGGTTTCAGTCTCACTGAGCTTCTTTTACCCCTCTGGATCCCAAGGGGTCAAAGTACAATCCCTGGGACTGGCATCCACAGGGCATCCTACTAAGTCATACTTGGCCACATAGGACCAGGTCAAGACATATACATATTCCCTAACCTAAATAGCTCTCGGCCAGGTGTGGTGGCTCTTGCCTGTAATCACTTTGGGAGGCTGAGGCAGGTGGCAACATATTAAAACCCTATCCCTAATAATACAAAAATTAGCTGGGCGTGGTGACATGCACCTTTAGTCCAGCTACTTGGGAGGCTGAGGCAGGGGAATCACCTGAATGCGGGAGGCAGAGGTTGCAGTGAGCAGAAATCACCCCACAGCATGTCAAAAAAAAAAAAAAATTAGGTGCAGTGGTGGGGGCCTGTAATCCCAGCTACACAGGAGGCTGAGGCAGGACAATCACTTGACTCTAGGAGGTGGAGGTTGCAGTGGGACAAGATCATACCACTGCACTCCAGCCTGGGTGACAGAGCGAGACTCTGTCTCAGAGAAAAAAAAAAATCAGTGATTTTGTGAGAAAAGGCATTGAGGTCCTCTGAAATCTGCATGTGAGCAAGGTCTAGAACAGGTAAACATACTATCCTAAGTAATCTAGATGAAAAAGTGACCCCTTGGTTTCTTCACATTTTTCTCCAAGAGCTCAGTGAGCCAGCAGCACCTGGCCAGCAACACACCTGATACAAAATGGGAGAAGTGTATAAATTATTATGTTGGTAAGCAAGATAAATGCCAAAGGGGAGATAAGGGTGAAAGCACTGGGAACTGGCAGAGTGTAGTCAGCAGGTCAGTTCCTGGTGGTTCACTGAGTAGCTTGGCTCAAAGATGTGAGTGAAGTCCCTCCTGGTGGAGGGATGAGAGCAGCTCCGGTTACTCGGCCTTCATTACACAAGAAGTTGAAGGTGGCACAGGCATTGGGCTGCAAAGAAAAGGCCAGAATCAGCCTGTCTAGTGCCAGGCCTGTACTCCCCACAGCAGGCCCCAGTTATAGGACTCACCGTGTCCTGCACTTCCACAGCAATGCCCCGCTGCCTCATGGCTCGAAGCACCCGGGACTGCAGCCTCTCAGTCCGGTCTCCAGTCCCCACCACAACAATCTCTAGGGAAGTGAGGATGAGACTAGTCTACAATTCTGTTGAGAGGTTGGAGTGGGGGTTGCCTTTTAGGGCTCAAAGCACCTCTGCCCTGCCTCCCCTGTCCCCAGTACCTATCCGGGGCTCCAGCATCCAGAAGAGGGAAAAGCTCTCTTCGGTGATGTCCTGGTGGGATCCCACCTGTGCAGGGAGATGATTTATTCAGTACGACAAATCTACGCAGCTTCTCCCCACCTCCATCCACTACAGGAGATAGAGGAAAGCCACGTCTACAGGGACACAAGCAGGCTGAGGACCTGTGACTCTGGACCTCAGTTTCCTCACAGCGGGTCAGGACTCACGTTCCATTGCAGCAACGAATGCGGGAGCAGAGCGCAGGGCCCGAGCACGCGGTTTCCGTTTATCATGAAGCCGCGGCTGTTGTAACTGTCGATGTACATGGTCTGAAAGCCTTCGCGTTGCAGCAAAGAGATGTGCGTCCGCTGATACAGTTCGTCATCTGCTGGCGAGAGCCGATGCCCCCGTCGCGGGGCCCTGCGGAGGGAACGGGTCAGGGGCACAGGGCCGGGACGGGCCGCCCGAGAAGCCAGAAGGTGCGGGGTGGCAGTCGCCGGCCCTAGGGGGTGGGATGGTCAACAGTGAGGGGTCCAGCTCACCAGGAAAATTCAACAGGCAGACAGCGCAGCGAGGGTCTCGCTCGGTACAAGCTGCGTAGCGCAAGAGCGGTGGCCATGGCTGATCGACGCGCGGCGAAGTCGTCACTGACGCCGGTTGTTACCGGGTTGGCGGGGCCCTGCGGAGGCTGACCCAGCGCGGGTGCAGCGCCCCCTGCGTCCCGGAGTGCACGGCACAGCTCGGCCGGCCCAGCCGGCGAATATCATCTGTCCTGGGAGGAGGACAAGTCCCCCGGCCTCCGGCGCAGCTCCGATGTCATCACCTGCCCCTCGCCCCGCCCCGGGTCCTTGCCCACAGTCCCAGGGGAGTGGAACACCTGGTAGTGTGGCCGCCCTCGGCGTTGCGTGAGCCGCAGTTGCGGCCTGGACCCCCGGCTCTCAACTATTAAGCCGCGCTCCCGAGGCGGGGCAGCCACCCACCTAATCGTGAACCGAACACCTGGCCAGGCGGTCCATGCCAGACTTCGAGCCCCTAATCCTAGCCTTTGGGGCTTCAGGCACCGTGGGCGGGGCAACCAGCTCAAGTTTCTCCGGCTCACAACCGAAGCAAGTCCCGCCCTAACCGTCACCCGTGCGACCGTTGGCCTCTCAGTTGCGCGCTAGAGGGGCGTGGCCTAGCGTGGATTGGCTTATCGGGTGCTCCAGGAGGCGTGGCCAGGTGGTTTCGCCTTAAAATAGCTCCAAGTCTGCGGGCAGCCAGAGCAAGCGGAAGGGCAAGCTGTGGTAGTGTTGGGGTTGCTGCTCGGCTGGGCCAGACCGGGCAGAACCGGACCAGACTTGAAGTAGAAACGCGTGGAGCATCACCTTGTCCTCGTTCACTCTGCTCTCGTCCTGGGAGTCCCCAGTCCCCCGTCTTGAACCAAGTCAAGGGCCTACTGGCGCGAGAGTCGTTGGCGCCCGCGCGGGGATTGGGTATCTCGGCACGCTGGCTCTGTCGTGGCCCCAGGGGAACATTGTTGCGTTCGCTACTCGCGGGGCTGGGCGAGCAGGGAGCTCGGCACAGTCGGGGCCTGGTGGTGGGTCTCCTGGGGGGCGGTCGTAATAGGTTTCTGGGGGTCCCGCCGCTGCTGTGTGGGCCCCTTCGGCCCCTGGTGCTCTGGGCGCTGGCAGCGTCACTGGACAAAGAGCCCCAAGCGCGGGGGTGTCCCCGAGGCGGACGCTTGGGTTTACTTCCTCTCCAGCCCCACGGGCGCGCTTCCCTCCTGGCGGATTCCGAAGCCCGCCCCACCACCGTCACCGCACCAGTGGCCCAGGCTTCGCGGGACCAACAGGGCTAAGCCTGCCCTGCGGATCTAATCCGGATCGGGACCCGGTCCCAGGGGAGGCCCCCACCTCCCCTTCTATTGTTCTGGGGCCCAGGTGAGCGTCTTGTTCCCTCTAGACTCGGTTTCACAGCCTACTGCTAGGTCTGCCTCCTGGGACTAGGGATGGACGGGTTCGATGTGGCCCCAGGGCTAGTGGCCAGTGGGCAGGAGCGCCCCCGCCCCCCGCCAACGGCTGGACAGCGGGCAACGGAATCCCAAAAGCAGCTGTTGTCTCCAGAGCATTCCAGCTGCGCTTGGATTTCGTCCCCTGCTCTCCTGCCTGAGCAGCGCCCTGGCCCAGATAGGGTACTCCTGACCCCCGGACATACTTTACTGAGCCGCTTGGGTCTCAGTTCCTCTCAGGTGCGCCCTCAGGCTGGAGGTGATGGTTGTAGAAGTCGGAGAGCTGAAGCTGGTGGCCGTCTCTGGAACCCTGAGGAGCACTGGCGAGGGAGGGTAGACCCAGGACCTCCGGGTAGGGCTGCAATGATAGTGAGTTCCCGAGGACCGCCTCAGCCCGCAGCTTTGCTAAAGATAGCCCTCTACTTCCTGGGGAAAACCACCCCAACCGTCTTCGTGGATGAGAGTATCTAAAGTCTTCAGTTGGCTGAAGGTTTCCAACCCTGCTAAGCAGCTGTCTCCAAGTCATGCGCCTTCAGAATGGAAAGCGCTTTGGAATGACACGATCACTCCCGTTGAGTGGGCACCCGAGAAGCCATCGGGAATGTCGTGTCCGCCCAGTGCTCTTTCGGCGCCTCCCATCAGGGCCTTAGCCCTGGCCCAGAAAGCGGTCTTGTCAAGTTTTTCCTGCCCCTGGGTTTCCCTCCTCTCTGGATTTCCCAGCTCTCTGCTGAATTAGCTTCCATCTCTATTAAAAGGAAGGGATGGTGGTATGTTACGTTGAAATGAAAACATTTGGGAACCTTTGCGGGGGGGGGGGGGGTGAAGAAAAAGAGCTCTCCCACTGGTAGAGGAGCGGGATGCTCCAACCAAGGTCTATTTCTCTGTTTCTTATGGTCGCATTTGGTTGGCCCATAATGGTCGTTGCCTAAAACAGGAAGCGTAAGTACAGCAGGTTAAAGGAGTCACATTAAAAGCTGTTCATTCTGGAAGCCGTCATGATGGTTTTAATTACTCAGGTATCAAGAGAAGAAAATCAGCAATTATATCAGAGTGTGCATTTCTTGGGAATAAAGACCACCCGGGCCAGGGGCGGTGGTTCATGCCTGTAATCCCAGTGCTTTGGGATGCGGAGGCGGGCGGATCACGAGGTCAGGAGTTCGAGACCATCCTGGCCAACATGGTGAAACCCCCATTTCTATTGAAAAAAAAAAAAAAAAGCAAAAGATTAGCCGGGCATGATGGCAAAGCACCTGTAGTCCCAGCTGCTCGGGAAGCTGAGGCAAGAGAATCGCTTGAACCCGGGAGGCGGAGGTTGCAGTGAGCCAAGACCGCACCACCACTGCACTCCAGCCTGGGCAACAGAGCAGGACTCCGTCTCAAAAAAAACACCCATATCTCAAACGAGAAAATGCTTGCAAATAACCTGAACACTAGTCTTTTTAAAACAAGATGTTTTAAGTAGGTCATCAAAGTGGCCTTAATGTTATATTGCCTTATTCCAGTGACAAGTATTCATCATGTGTAAAATGGGAGAAATGTCAACACAAAGATGTGAGACTTCAATGAGAATAGACGGTACCCTGTCTGAGCCCCCACCGGGTCGCGAGTTAAGGCCTAGTCTTCTCCCTGGTTAAGGCCTGGTCACAACGAAAGAACCCTAGGCCCGGGGAGGACCCCGAGGTTTCAGATCCATGGCCCGGCTGTGCAGGTGGACCACGCGGAAGGGGCGGTAGTCCGAAAGCAGCCAACACCGCTCCCTCTGGCGCACCTGTCCACTTACGGGAAACTCCGCCTAATCCCCGCCCCAGCCAGTCGGTCCTTTCCGGAAGTTCCACCTCCCTAAATTTTTTTTCCGGTTCCGTTCACTCCTTCCGGTCACCATGGCGACCGGGCGCCTTGGTGTCGGGGAGACGCTGGGAGCCCTCAATGCGGCCCTGGGGCCAGGCGGTCCGGTGTGGATCAAGGAGACGCGCACCCGCCACCTGCGTTCCCGAGACTTCCTGGCGCCGCGCCGCGCGCTGCAGGCGCGCTTCAATGACGGGCAGGTGGGCACGAGCCGGGCCGTACGGCTAGGAGCTCAGCCCAAAGCCGTGGCCCGCTCACACCCCTGTTCTCCCGCAGGTTCCCGAGCATGTGCTCCATGCCCTCGCCTGCCTGCAGGGCCCCGGTGTGGCCCCGGTGCTGCGCTGCGCGCCGACCCCCGCAGGTCTGTCGCTCCAACTGCAGCGTCCCGCCGTCTTCCAGCGCGTCCTCAGCGACGTGACTGCTTATACCGCGCCCGTCTCGCCCGCCTCACCGGGCCAGCGCGTCTTACTACACTGCCCGGCACTGCGCAGCCCCCACTGCGCACTCCGCTTGAGCCAGCTGCGTACGGTCCTCGTGGCCGATCACCTGGCGCGAGCTCTGCGCGCTCACGGGTGAGCGGGGCCGCGGGGCCGGAATGGAGGAGGGACTACTGGAGACATAGAGAGCGATCGGTGCTGCCCTTGCGCCTGGAGGTGGGAAGTCGTGGCGAGCTGGACCAGGTGAGCAGTCTGAAGCGGCCGCCCTCCCTTTGCAGGGTATGCGTGCGCCTGGTGCCAGCTGTGCGGGATCCGCACATGCTGACCTTCCTGCAGCAACTGCGGGTGGACTGGCCCGCCGCCTCGGAGAGAGCTTCCTCCCGTATCCTGAGGAGTCACGCACTTGCAGAACTTACCTCTTCTTATGACGGGAGGGCACTGTCCCCTCGCATCCTAGGCAGACTATGTCTGAAGGAACTGATGGAAGAACAGGGCTGCACAGCTGGCTGTGACCCCAACCTGGACAACTGTTTGGGTAGGACCTAAAGCCTGGCAGGGCCAGAAAAGGCAGAAGAGGGTAGGGGGACATCTCCGCTTCTTGCCAGCCTCAGCACCTGTCTGTTCTTTTTGCAGTGACTGAGGATCTCCTCTCTGTGCTGGCTGAGCTGCAGGAGGCTCTATGGCATTGGCCTGAGGACAGCCACCCAGGCCTGGTTAGTGACTCCCAGCCCTGTAGGTTCTGGCAAACCAAGTATATACTGTACTTCCACAGTGACAATTGTCCTCCCTTAGGCTGGGGTCCCAGATACTGGTACAGACAGTTGTCTGGTTATACACGTGGTAAGCTGTGAGGAGGAGTTCCAGCAACAGAAGTTGAACCTGCTTTGGTGGAAGTTGGTTGACAAGCCTCCACTCAGACAGGTAGGTTAATGATGGTGGAGCTCCCCACCACCTCACCCCCAACCTCAGAGGGCCCTTGAAAACCCACCACGGGGCATGTTATCTGACAGGTTCAAAAACCAACACTTGACCTTGGGGGAGTTGCTGGACTTGAGAGGGCATGTGCAGCAGGTGCTGAGGCTCTGGGGAATGGGGGCTCTGTAGACACATCCCAAGAACATTGAAGACCAGGTTGAGGAGGCTGGACTGTGTGGCCTGAGGGACTGGGTAGAAGGAGCCACTCATCCTGGTGGTTCCAAGTTGAGGGAGTCTGGGTTGAGTGGAGGCACCAGATTCAGGCCCCTCCAGGGACTACTGCTGGAGAGTAGTGCCAGCTGGGCTGAGCCCTGCCATCTTCCTGACAGAAGCACCTGATCTGTGGCCCAGTGAAAGTAGCTGGTGCACCTGGCACTCTGATGACCGCCCCTGAGTACTATGAGTGAGTGAGGCTGGGATAACCTAAGCCAGGGTAGTGTGGGGGTACTCTTTGCTGGGACCCTGCCTACTGGCCTTCCTCTCTCTTCCAAACACAGGTTCCGGCATGCCCAGGTGTGCAAGGCCTCAGCACTGAAGCATGGTGGGGATCTGGCACAAGGTGTGCCTGGGAAACCCTGGCTTTGTTCTGGGTTAGGGGCAGGTTTGCATCCCTGCCCTTGCCTGCAGACTGACTAAACAACCCTATACTCCCTCAGACCCAGCCTGGACAGAGATCTTCAGTGTTCTCTGTGTGGCCACCATCAAGTTTGAGATGCTGGGCACAGCCCCACAGAGTCAGGTGAGCCTGGGAGCCTGACAGGGCCAGGGTTGGGGGACAGGTTATGGTGGCTGCCTTATCTCTGCAGCTGTGCTCCTATTCCGCAGATCCTCCTGGTTCTGGCTGACAGCAACATCTCCACGAAGGGCACAAAGAGTGGCACCTTTGTCATGTATAATTGTGCCCGTCTTGCCACACTCTTTGAGAGTTACAAGTGCAGTATGGAACAAGGTCTGTACCCCACTTTTCCTCCTGTGAGCAGTCTGGACTTCTCGCTGCTACATGATGAGGTGAGTGTCCCTCCTGGTAGCTGGCACAAGGTCTGGACTTTCCCTCCCAGCACCTTTCTCCCCCACAGGGTGAGTGGTTGTTGCTCTTCAACAGTATCCTCCCCTTTACGGATCTGCTGAGCCAGACAGCAGTGCTGGACTACACAGCCCCAGGGCTCCACATCGCTGCACGCACAGAGATGGTGAGGCACAGACAACCAGTATAGACACTGCACACTCTATTCTTTATTCTGGCCTGGGGCACAAGAGCAAAGAGATGGGCCAGTGACTCAGTCTCTGTCTCTAGATGTGCAAGTTCCTGGTACAGCTCAGCATGGATTTCAGCTCCTACTACAACCGGGTACACATCCTAGGGGTAAGCATACAGCAAGATGGGGTGGGAAGTGCAGAGGGGTACAGGGTAAACACAAAGGAAGCAGAGGATGAGACCAGCAAGCCCCTTCTCCTTCAGGAGCCTCGACCACACCTCTTTGGTCAGATGTTCGTCCGCCTGCAGCTTCTGAAGGCTGTGCGTGAGGTGCTCCACACTGGCCTGGCTATGCTGGGTCTCCCTCCACTGAGCCACATCTAAGGCCACAGAGGCTCCAATATTTGGGAGCGTTAACAAATTCATCAACTGGAAAAAAAGCAAAAACCCACAGCCAAAATAAATTGCTATTGTTACAAAGTTCTGTCTTGTCATGGGGAATGGGGCACATTCTTGGCAGCACTCCACTCACCTTCAGCTCCTGCACCGATGTCAGGAACCCACAGCCACCACCTCCTCCCCTCAAGGCATGCTGAGCATGGGCACAGACAGCCCATCCTGCTCCACAGTCTGTGAGCAGGACCCATGCCCAGCACACCGGCCACCTCAGGATACCTCAGTCATACCAGTTATAAACCTCAAGCCCTTGACCCCCGAGGGCACAGCGGTGGCCAAACTCAGGGCTCACAGGCCAGCAGTCCATGTCAGCCACATCTGGCACATGGTACACAGTGCTGTTCATGAAGGTGGGTTCACCATGCCCCAGACGCCAGAAGGTCAGCCGTTGATCAATGGAGGCTGAGACCATAAGGCTTGGGCTTATGATCTTGAGGCCTGTCACATGGGCAGCATGTGCACAGGGGACAGAGTACTCCTCTATGACACGCAGCTGGGGTACCAGCCCAGCCTCTCCCACAGCCTCTTCTGGCTCTGGTATCTCCACAGCAAGCACGAATACATGGAGGGATCCATCTTCACTGCCACTGGCCACAAGATGGTGGCCCTCAGGGGTGGGCAAGGTGTGCAGGCTGTTGATACCACAACTGTGGGCCTGGAGAGTCAGGAAGGGGGTGCAAAGCCCTGGAGGAAGAGAGTAGTTGTCAGGGCCCTGCCTGCCACGTGTGAGGGGTATGTGACAGGTGGGGAGGGACAGCCATGGTTGCATATTAGCTACTCACGGAAGGGAAGCCCAGGATCCACTGGGGCCTCCAGGACAATGGAGCCATGGTCTAGCATGGTGGTGAGATCCCAGAAGGCCAGGTTGCCATCAGTAGCTGCGCTGCACAGAAGCAGCCTCCTGGGAGCCAG